TATATAATATTTTCCCCATTATAAGACTCTGTCTTATATTAATTTTTGTTCCAACAGATACAGTAGGACTTATTTTGAGGGAGTGTCTTATTTTTCAGGTATATATTATACTGTACATTTATTCATGTACAACATTACACATTAATTCATGTTTAAACCCTACATTTATTCAAATTATAGTCACTTCATCTTGTAGAACATCATCATAACTACAAATCCAGAATTTTGGCCTGAATTTCTTGCTACTTCTTTTCCTGTAGAATCATTGGCCAAAAATCTTTCATGCCCATCAGTAGAGCTTTCCTTCAATAAGTACTTTTTGTCCATGTAGCCCACTTGAAGTGCATTGTTACAACATATGATATATTGAATTATAAATATTAGACACAGCCATGTCCATTGTCATCAAGGTACAAATTAGTTTTGCATTGTATCCTCAGTCCAATTAGTAAGAAAACAAAGCAGCCCAGTTCACATAGGCATTTACCTCTTATCCAAAGGCTCCTGCTTGGGTATTTACAAACATAATTATAATTTATATTATCATTTAAGTATTAATGTCAATATTTATATCTAGTTATATATTATTCAGTACATTCTGCATGTGTTGCAATAGGTGTACTAAATACATCTGTCTGGCTGACAGTCTTAACTGGGGCTTATAAGCATCCTGAAAAAAAAAAAAATCACACTAGGACTTATTTTATGGTTAGGTCTTATTTTGGGAGAAATATACTAAATACATATTTTTACATGTCTTTATTAGTGAGTTCCTTCATATATACATTCAAAGGAGTTGTGGAGCAGGCTAATCTGAAAGCTTTCGAGCATAGTACAGAAAGAATTAAAGTCTTGGATTCAAAATCTTCAGGTTGGAATCTCAGGCAGGATTTCTATATTTTAATCTTGAGGCTAACTTGCTTTTTTTGCAGGAAACCTCAGTCTGTGACCCAAAGGCCTTCATCTATGGGATGAGGCCCACTCATTCAGAGGGTAATCTGCTTTATTCTGAGTTAGCTGATTTAAATGCTAAAACAACAACAACCAAAACAACAACAATAACAAAAACCTTCACAGCAACATGGAGACATCAAATAGCTGGCAGTACCATAGCATTGAAACAAAATTAGCCATCACAGTTAGAATATGTGATTCAAGAACAATTTAAATGTGTATCTTTTTACTTCATTTGAAAGTATTTGAGGTATAAAGATGTAGAATTTTATAAATGTTAACAAGCACATAAAAAACATTTAAGAAAGAAACGGTGTTACAGAAGAACTCTGTTGAGTTAATCTGAGATCCAGTGATAGTAATTGTTTTACTTAAATTTTGGTTTTGTTGTCCATGTTCATCCTTGGAATGTAATACCATAGAAGTTACTGTAAGCTTCGTGTCCTATTTATCTTCAAATAAATTTATCTCATCTAAAATATAAGCTTTAAATTTACATGAAATATTGCAGGATCAGAATGTTAACAATAAAATGAAAAATATGTGTTCATTCTCTAATTTGCTGCTTTCTTGCATATTTAAAATTACTATTCACACATTGTTCTCATATTCCAGATTTTCAAGAACCATATGCTGTGGTGGTTCTTCTAGAAAAGGATTTAGTACTTATAGATCTTGCACAAAATGGGTAAGAATTTCCTCAGTATGTGGTTAAAAAAAAAAAGTATATATAAATATCACAGGATTAGCTATTTCATTTGTTTGAGAAGTCTACTTTTATGTCCATAGCCTTGATCTCATTTTACAGCTCCAGACTCATTCTAATTATTTGCTAAATTCTTCTATTATGATAAATTTCATAGTATTTTCATTTTTTAAGTCAAATTTAGTTGAATTTCTGAAATTTCTTGTTTTAACTTCATGCTTGTATATGCTAAAGCTACACAAAATCAGTATGTCCAAAATTGATCCTATTATAATTTACATCTAAATAAGCTATTAGTCTTTTTTTGCACATACTATTGTCAGATTAATTTTCCATGCATCACTAGCCCTGTTGTTCTTCTGATTACAGATATAGTAGAATCATTGAACTAAGGAAAGATTTGTGTTATAAAGAGAGTCACCTGACTTTCTGTTATTTCAGTTTTGTTTGTTTGTTTTGTCTGTTTGTGGCTAAAGTTGCTGGATTCATTTTCCAGTGTATAAAGGGCTTTTCTAAAAATTCTCTCCTGATCAATACATTTAATATTTACAGATTAATAGTTTTGTACTTTTTAAAGACATTTTAAACAGGTTCTAATTTTACAGATGCTTTAAAGCAAGTATTCTCGTTCTAAGGAATGTTATATGTATAAAGTTTTAATTTCATGATTTTAAAAACATTTTACTTATTAAAATAATTTCATATCTAAAAAACATTGTAGAGGTACAAGATCCCAACAATGAATGTAACTGTACTGTATCCCTAAAATGTACCAATAAACTCAAAGCTGAAAAAAAAACATTTAAAGTGGAATTACATTTTAGATTATCACTGATGCAAGGTAACATTTTGATTTTAATCTTGGACTAGGTAATACATTGATGGAGAAAGAGAAGAATTGAAATTTTCTATTGATGTTGGTGACTCAAAGCTGAAAAAAACATTTAAAGTGGAATTACATTTTAGATTATCACTGATGCAAGGTAACATTTTGATTTTAATCTTGGACTAGGTAATACATTGATGGAGAAAGAGAAGAATTGAAATTTTCTATTGATGTTGGTGTAAGGATGAGGTTACAAATATTGAGAACCACATAGCTTAATGAATATGAGCATAGTTTAAATTCTGCTTCAACTGCTTCCTAGATGACCTGTCTTTGAAACATTACTCTTTGGTTTTGTTCTCCAAGATAATGTCTGCATCATACTTTGGTTCAAGAGATATAAGTACCACTTAGTCTGTATCTTAACTTTGGTGAAGGTAAATAAAATGTATCTATAAGTAGCACTTTGTCTAGGATAGCACGTTGGAACCATAGCCTTTATTGTTATAATTTAGCATCTTTTATTACAAAATACCTCAATGTTAATGTATTACATAAATCAGCTTAATATATGTGGTAAATGTATATTTTAAAATTTTGTAATTGTGTATTAATCATAGATTATAACTAATTAAATAAATATTTTTTTTCTGTGTTAAAGATATCCTATATTTGAAAATCCCTACCCTTTGAGTATACATGAGTCCCCGGTTACATGTTGCGAATATTTTGCTGATTGTCCTGTTGACCTTATTCCTGCACTTTATTCTGTTGGAGCTAGACAGAAACGTCAAGGTTATAGCAAAAAGGTATTGAACATGAGTTTTGTTACTTAATATTTTCATGTTTTAAATTTATTACCTTGAGATGTTTAGTAATATTGATACCTTTTCTACAGAAAGTATAAAGAAAATCATTTTTGGAAGCAAAATACATTGGTTACTGTTTCCATATATGTATTATATGTAAAACATATAGATTATATGTACATAAGGACTTACAGTATGCTTGTAAGTTGCTTTATACAGTAATCTTTTCTTATAGGAATGGCCCATCAATGGAGGTAACTGGGGCTTGGGTGCTCAAAGTTACCCAGAAATAATTATTACAGGGTAAGTTAAAGTTTCTGTTCACCCATTAAATCAGTAATAGCTAAATAGAGTTGATTAAGATTACATGACTTTTAATTTATTGGGCAGGTAGAGCTTTTCTTCATGTTACAGTACAATGAGAAGTAAATTATTGTCAAGAACCTTCCAGTTTACTACAGTTTCTACCTTTTTTCTCATTTTGGTGCTATCTTAAAAGTAACAGTATACATTTAAACAAGGAAAAAATGTAACTTTTTTCTTTATCACATTCTTAACTCCTTTGCTTTGTGTAGACATGCTGATGGTTCAGTTAAGTTCTGGGATGCTTCTGCAAGTAAGTAATTTCATTTGAATATTTATTGTTTTACGTTAAGCCATGCTAGCTTTTGTATATCTTGTTTTGTAATCACAGAATCAACATTTAATTTGAAATTTGTAGGCTGTAAGTTTAATTTACTGACTTATGAAGTACATGTCTTAAGTTTTTAAGAGTAAAATATTTTCAGAGATATTAGTATTTCAAGAATAATTCATAGCAGCAATATTCCAATTCTTTCTTCAAAATAGCTTTAAATCTTTTCCTAACTCAGAGATGAGAAATGAGAATGGATTTGAAATCAACAGAAAGTTCTAAAGTAATTTTAATGCCTAATTCTAAACTGGGTAAAAGTTTCTAATGTCTTTGTGAAAATTCCTGGTTCTTACATAGTAACAGATAAGAGTGCCTTATGATTAATGTTTGCAGGACATACATGATGAACTCTCATGGCAATTCAGTAAACTTTAGATGCATTGTTTAATCATGTAGGAGTTTCTTTTTTTTTTTTTTTTTTTTTTTTTTTTTTTTTTATTGGTACCGGGGATTGAACTTGGGTCTTCGTGCTTGCAAGGCAGGCCACCAAACCGCTGAGCTAAATCCCCGGCCCAGGAGTTTCTTTTTTTAATTATTTCCTGTTTGCTTTTTTATTTTGTTTATTATTTATTTATTTTTGGTACTGGGGATCAAACTCAGGACCTTGCAAGGCAGATGGTGGAACCACTGAGCTAAATCTCCGACCCCATAATCATGTAGGAGTTTCTGATAACACTGGTATCATTTTATATAGAAAATCACTTTAGGGAGTTTTGGTGTATTTATACATTTTTCCCCAAATCTTTTTGTTACTCTTTTATTTTTTAAGTTATCTAAAGCCATCATGATGGTGGATTTTTTTTTTTTAATGAATACAGTGAATGCACCCTTTTCTGGCCAGTGAACAAATATATATATATCATCTAAATGTTCAATAGACTACTTTAAAGTAGATTGAAAAATGAAAATACAGTTTAGACAAATATAGAATGTTTTCCTTACATAATGTGACTGATTAAACACATTTGATCATTTTGTACTAAAATGTCTTAACATCTTTTTTAGTAATGCTGCAAGTATTGTATAAATTAAAAACATCTAAAGTATTTGAAAAGACAAGAAATAAAGACGACAGACCGAACACAGACATTGTAGATGAAGATCCATATGCTATTCAGATCATTTCCTGGTGTCCAGAAAGTAGAATGTTGTGCATAGCTGGAGTTTCAGCCCATGTCATTATTTATAGATTCAGCAAACAGGAAGTAGTTACAGAAGTCATTCCGGTAATAATCTTTTAATTATTTTTTGTGTCAATTGTCCTATTATTTTCAATTTGTGCTTCATTTAGAAGACTACTTGCAGGGCCAGGGATTTAGCTCAGTGGTTCTGGTGCCTGCTTCACAAGTGCAAGGACCTGAGTTCAATCTCTGGTACCAAAAAAATAAATAAAATAGAAGACTATTTGCAGTAAGTTTTGTATAGGAATTTTGAAAACATCTCCGTATTTAAATTTTAATCTCTGTTTTTTAAAAAATAGCATTTATTGCTATATCTTTTAACTGATTATGTAAATCCTTAAGCACATTGTAAGTTTTATTTCAGCAAAACTGATATAAATATGAGTATATTCTTAATTTTGGAGTGCTGCATATTATAAAATCATGATGTGTGTATGTTTTTCTGTGTAATTCCTGCATACACACGTTTTTTAAAAAGCTGAGTCAGAAAATGTTTTTCATTTACCTTTGGAAACTTGTTAAATTTTTAAGTTTAAAAATTTTAGGGGCTAGGGATTTAGATCAGTGGGGCTGCACCAGCCTCTCAAGAACAAGGTCCTGAGTTTGATCTCTGGTACCGAAAAAAAAATTAGTTATGTGTATATATAAATTGTAATAAAATGATTACTAAATATCTGAAGTAAGTCAACTGCCTTGCTTTTTCCACAGATGCTTGAAGTTCGATTGTTATATGAGATAAATGATGTTGAATCTCCAGAGAGTGAGCAGCCACCAACTTTGTCAACACCTGTGGGAGGCTCCAGTCCTCAGCCCATTCCTCCTCAGTCCCATCCATCAACCAGTAGCAGTTCATCTGATGGACTTCGTGATAATGTACCTTGTTTAAAGTAAGTTATAACAAGGAAAATTATAGTTCTTTGCATATTATCTTAACTTAAATAAATTGTAAGCATCAGTAAGCTGCAATAATATTTTACAGTAAAGGAGTAAACTGGCATAAGAATCCTGTGTTTGGCTGTGGTTAATCTCTTTGTTTTTAGTGGCATAAGCAAGGTATGATTGCATTCCATGATTTTATCCTTAAAATACTAAGACTTGAACTCCAAACATAAGTACTATGTCACTCAATGTTCTAAATCCATCAGTGTTTTATCTGAATTTGTATGCATATTAGATTAATATTCAGACTACTTTGTAGCACTCTGAAAATTCCATATTTTTAATCTTAAATTGACTCAGTTTTTCATAATAGTTTTTAAAATTTTTATTAGTACATGTTTACAGTACATAGGCCTACATTCCTTGTGTGGAGTTACACATTTACATAATACATCTTAATTTTTTTTATCTCTTTCCTTCTCTCTCCCCCATCCCTTCATCTCTTGATTCCCTTCCCCTTTGAGCTATCTTCCTACTTCCTAGTCCTACAATATCTTTATTTCAAAGCCTTTATTTTGTATGTAAATACACCTTGTTTTTATAGGGGGATAAATTACATAACTTTTTTTTCTGGCCCACTGGTATTTTTGAGTGATTACATTTCTTAAGGTTTATGGGTAGAGAAGTAATGCAATAAGTAAAGAGTTAAAATCATTGAAGAATTACATGAAGAAAGTTTGAATAAAAATAATAACATTTGAATAAAAATAATCAATAAAGGTAATGATTGAAAGGTGGCTCTGAAAGAAGTCAAGAGATTCGGGAGAATGGTGGGTGCAAAAGCCAGATTGTAATAGATTCAAAGTACAAAGGATGGTTAAGTAAGAGAGAGAATTTGCACTTATGTAAAGAACAAAGCTTTGCACTATTTTGTTTTAGGTTTGCTAGGATTTCTTCTGTTGATGGATAGTTTAACAATTGCCATTTTCCATGTAGAGTATCAATGAAACCAAGAAGGTACTTACTCTGAAGATAGAGCAGATAGAAGTTTTAAAAATATCATAATCATTTCTAAAGTATAGATATAAAAATTTGTTGTGCTGTTCAGAAAATTTTGTGATTAGATATTTTAAGCCAGTGGTTCTCAACTGTGGGTGATTTTGTACCTGTGGAGATATTTGGCCAATTCTAGAGATATTTCTCTTTTTTTCCAATATTAAAAAAAAATATATATATATATATATATATTTTTTAATTTCTTTTTTTGTTTTATTGAGTTAATTGGTACATTTTAAGTATATAGTACCATTACATTCATTATTAGGATCTTGTACCTTTACATGACAAGTCTTGGTTCTCATTTTTTTTTTCCCCTTGTCCCTGCCCTCCCTTCACCCCCTCCTCCCCTCCCCCTTGCAAACATTTTATTTCCATTTTTTCATTTTGTCATATTTTTTTCTTTTCCCTTATTACCTTTCCCCTACCCTTCCTATTTTCCCTACATCTTTAGCCCTTTTCTTCCTATTTCACGTGGTCACTTATCTCACTAGGATCTTATGTAGTATTATAGCTTTTCACACCAGAGAAAATATTCGGTATTTACACATGTGTGACTTATTTATTTCACATAGGAGTATATCCTCAGCATGTATCCATTTTCCTATGAATGAATCTAATTTCTCATTCTTTATGACTGAGTAGTATTCCATTTTATAGAAAAACCACATCTTCTTTATCCATTCTCCAACTGATGGGCAAATGGGCTGTTTCCAAGTTTTAGCTATTACAAACTGTGCCACTATAAGCATAGGTGCACATATATCACTGTGATACGATTCTTTTAATTCTTTTGGCAAGATAGCCAGCAGAGGGATGGCTGGATCAAATGGAACCTCTAGTCCCAGCTCTTTGAGGTATCTCCATATTGATTTCCATAGTGCTTGCACCAGTCTGCACTCCCACCAACAATGGAGAAGGGTTCCTTTCTCCCCACAACCCCATCAAAATTTCTTATTGATTGATTTCTTGATAGCAGCCATTCTTTGTGGGGTGAGGTGGAATCTCAGTGTTGTTTTCATCTACATCTCTCGAATGACCAGTGATGTGGAACATTTTTTCATATATTTACTTGCTGCTTTTACTTCTTTGTCTGAAAAATATCTGTTCATTTCAGATGCCCATTTTTGAATTGGGTCTTTATATTTGGGGGGGATGATTGTTTTGAGTTCTTTATATATTCTAGATAATAGTCCTTTGTCTGAGGAGCAGTTGGTAAAAATTTTTTCCCACATTGTAGGCTGTCTCTTAGTTCTGTTGATGGTTTCTTTTGCAGTGCAGAAGCTTTTTAATAAGATGAGATCCCAGTTGTTGATTCTTTCTGCTAGTTCCTGTGCTCTACTGAGGATTTGTTCATAAAGTCTTTTCCTATGCCAATGTCTTCAAGAGTTCTACCTAACTTATCTTCCAACAAGTTTAGTGTTTCTGTTTTAATATTTAGATCTTTAATCCACTTAGATTTTAGTTTAGTACATGGTAAAAGATAAGGGTCCAGTTTTAATCTTTGGCAGGTTGAGATCCAGTTTTTCCAACACTATTTATTAGAGAAGCTTCAGCTCCTTTGTCAAAGATGAGGTAGCTGAGTACATCTGGAGTTGTTTTTGTGTCTTCCAGTCTGTTCCACTGATCCTCAGGTCTGTTTCTTTGCCAGTACCATGCTGTTTTTATCACAGTGGCTTTGTAGTATAGTTTCAAATTGGGAATTGTTATACCTGCTGCTATGTGTCTGTTCCCTAGGATGGATTTTGCTATTCTAGGTCTCTTATGGTTCCAAATGAATTTTTGGATTCTTTTTTCTAGTTCTGTGAAATATAGTGTTGGAATTTCAATTGGCATTACATTGAATCTGTATAGCAGTTTTGGTAGTATGGCCAATTTCACCATGTTGATTCTTCCTACCCAGGAGCAGGGGATATCTTGCCATCTAGACATATTTCTAGTTGTCACAACAGAGAAAAGGGATGATGCTACTTACGTTTAATAGATAGAGTCCAGGGATGATGCTAAAATCTCTTACAGAAAACACAAAGAATTACCCACTCAAAATGTCAGTAGTCTCAAAGGTCTAAAATTTCTCTTTGTGTTCTTAAATTCACTTTTGCTCTCATGAACATAGGCATATACACAACTTTCACCTGCAGTTCTGATTACACCGACATGAGACTTGGAACACAGAATCCTACTTTTCTTTTTTCATTTTGTTAATTATTCAATAATGCTTTAAATTTAGATTTGTAAAAATTCCTTTAAGACCTCTGATTCTAATGAATTTTTTCCTAGCTCTTTGTTTAATTTATGAGCATATAAAGTACAGCTTTGTCTTTTGAATAATTTTTAAGCATTTCTGTATTTTTATAGTTTTATCAATTACTGAAGTGATCTTATTAATATGTATTCAAGCCAGGTGTGGTGGTGCACCTGTAATCCCAGCACTCAGAAGGCTGAGGCAGGGAGGATCGCTGTGATTTCGAGACCAGTCTGGGCTACATAGTGAGTTCCAGGTCAGTCTCAACTACATGGTGAGACCCTGTCTCAAAAAACCAAAAAAAAAAAAAAAAAAAAGAAAAAAAAAAGTATTCAAAAATTAGGGAAATTTATTTAGTTTGTGTTTTATAATATCTTATACTTCTTAGTCAATTTTCCATCTCTGTGACAGAAAACCTGAGATAATCACCTTACAAAGAATCTAGATTATTTGGCTCACAGTTTCAGAGATTTCAGTCCATGCTTTCTCAGCCTTGTTTGAGGCCTGTCAAAGCAGAACATCGTGGCAAAGAACATATGTAGAGCAAAGCTACTCACCTCATCAGCAAAAAGGAAAGGAAGGGGCTGAGATCCAAATACCTTCTTCAAGAGCATGACCACGGAGATTTAGCTTCTTTCACCTCCTAAAGTAACACCATTAACTGGGAATGGGCCTTCAACACATGAACTTTGGAGGATTTAAGATCCAAATGATAACAGCCTCCAAATGTTGTATGGGCTTGTGGCTACAGGTTCAGGCGTCTAAAATACTAAAGTCATTTTCTAATCTAAAGAATAAACACCACCATTCCTTTTTTTTTTTTTTCTTCAATGAGATAGGTCAGAGCAATAGAGCTGATTGAGATAAGAGCAGATCTTTTACATTGGTTTTTCTAGGTGTATTTTAAAGGCAGGCTCAATAGATGAGTTTTTATCCTCTGTTCTCAGAGTCATTTTTTCAAGTATTTTTACTAATTTAAAGAACCAGGAGAAAAATACTGAAGGTATTTTTACTGACTGAAAGAACCAGTTAAGGCAGTAATGAAGAACAAATTTTAAAACTAGTAGCTAGTAAACTAGAGTTACTCAGTGTCTAAATCCACTTAGCTATCAACTTAATTCTAGAATTGGGAATTTTTACTGTTGTTCATTGAAACCGTGGTATGGCCATCTTTATTATTTGAGAGGAACTTTCATGCCTGTGTTCAATGTGTTGAGAAACTGTTAATCTGTATTCAGTAGACTATCTCTTATTGAAAGGGAGATAGAGTGTTGATAAATAAATAGAAAGCCTCATTAGCCAGTCCATTAATATTTTCTGGGAAGAAAGTCTTTTTGTTATTTGCATTAACTGCTAAGATTTGTTTATTGGTATACTTTGCCTATCCTGGAAATATATACAGTTAAATATAAACCATTTTTTTCTTAATCCTAAAAATATTAATGTGACTATGGTGTGGTGGTAATGTTCTTTCCCCCACTTTGGAATATTATCATGAACTACTAGGGATTTTTGCTTTAACTGATTGAATTTGGTTAACCTATGAAGATTTTATCACAACTTCCTAGAGGGAGTTTTTGGAGTATGTCTGAGACTTCCCAGCATCACATCAGGACTTGTATTACCATCCTGGATTTCAGTCAAGAACATATTCTGTGCATGGCTTGAACTCCTGCCTTTGCACATGGAATGAGCTTCTCCAGGAAACTCTGGCTTCTTTTCATGGAGAATAGAATAATGGGACAAAATATAACTGGTAGAAATGTGTATAACATTGTTTTTAATAAGCACCATTATAGTAGGCCACTCAGTGGCAAAGGCTAGAAAGAAATGTATTTTTAAAAAAAAACAGTATTTAAAAAAAAACAGTATTTAAAGCCCATATACTTTTCATTGAATGTAACCATTTGATTTCCTCAAACAGCTCTTCTCCTAGATTAGCTTGAAATCGTTTTTTTGTTTTATCCATTTACAAAAGTAAGTTCAAAATGAGTTTTAAAATTATCACTAATAGTAAAACTACTAGATGTGTAATAAAATATGACATTACATTTGTTGTTAGACTTTTGAGCACATCTCATGTGAGTAATATGTAGTCAAATCTCTCAGGTATGAGTTACTTGCAATTTTTTCTAATATTGGAATTATTTACTGGCACCATATACAATTCAGTTCCATAAATTAATTTTATCCTGAGAGTTTTAATGTTTTAACTGGCAGTTCTTTTTGTAAATAGCATTTGTATCAGAGAAGAAGTAAACTGTGTTATCACTGTATTTTGTAAGATGAACGGAATTTTAAGCTGTTAAAACTGTAATAACAGATAAGACTGTCAACCAGAATCTGTTCACGCATAATTTCTCCTTGAGGTATACAAGGAGGCAAAATAAGTATACTACTCTTTTCCTATCTATGTTCTGTAATTTCAAGTGGTCTCTAAAAAATGCCATCTTAATTGTTGATAGAGACTAGTGATGTCAGCTAGCACAAAAGCCAGATGGGCTTTCTGACACTGACTGATCTGCAGACTCAGGCAGAAAAAAATGTATAAAAATAGGTGAGGTTTTAAGTTATGGAAGCATTAAGCACACTGTCTGTGGGACCAGAGGAGAATGTGGGCATACTTGTCTCTGAATGGACACAGCATAAGGGGGGAAAGGAACAGACCTCATTAATTCTCTTCCTTTTTTACCTTTCCCATAGTAGAGTTAGAAAGTGGGTAGAGAGGGGGCCAGGAGTTCTGTAGACTCTCAATGGAGAACCATCCCTGCTGACTGGACTCTGTGTGTCTGAGCTTTGTATGTCTGGTTTGTTTTTTAATAGTGAAATAGAGATTCATACTAATTTTAATATGTGATATTATATATTTGTATATCAAGCCATACATTTAACTTAAAACTTGAAATTGCTTAGTATTTTAAAAAAGGATTTTAAAATAGCACTGTAAATAAGTCACAATAAAGTGCATCATAAATTAATATACTCTCATAGTTAAGACTGTTTGGGTCGCTTATTTTGTGCTTTCAGTAGAATAGTAGAATTCCAGAAAAAAAATGTATGGTAAGAACATAAACATATGCATTGCATAATAATTCTCTTTACCTAACTATATCACATTAAATTATTTATCACATTAAGTAATTTCAGGTGGTCACTAAAAATATCTTTGGCCATTTATCCATTTTCTCAAAATTTGTTTGCATTCTGAATAATTCTCTAGTATTACCTAGTTTACTGAAGGATCAAGATTTAGAGGGAAGGTCCTAATATGTATTCAGAGATATATTAGAGGTAGCTAGTCTCAGTAGAATTTTGGGTCATTGACAAAAAATATAAGGCACGTGTTTTCATTTGTTCCTTTTAGCAATGAAATTTTATATTTTACTTAGGTATTTTGTTTGTCCCTTTGCAAATTCCTTGTCCAGACAGAGTCTCATTGTGACATTGTGAGGCGCCAAACATCCTTTAATACTTAAACTATTTTTGTACAGATTATAAGGCTGGCTGGCTGGCTTTCTTTCTTTCTTTCTTTCTTTCTTTTTTCTTTCTTTCTTTTGATAATGGGGAATCAAACTCAGGACCTTATGCTTGCGAGACAGGAGCAGTGTCACTAAGCTAAACCCCTGCCCTACAAATTATGAGGCTTTTTAAAAATAGAAGTTTGACAGCTTGTCTTTAACATGTAAACAAATTAACATAAATATATTAAAAGCATTAAATTGATAACATATATGAACTATTGTATACATAAAATGTAACAAACTGATCATTCTACTTCTATTTTAAAAATCTAACTTCTGTCTTGATCAAGTTTTAAATTTTTTTAGTTGAGTATTTTGCATCATTTTTAGCTGGCATTTTCCTCCTCTTTCAGAACTTTTTCTTATACTAAAATAAAAAAACTCTATGAGTTGTATGTGTTCTGGTCACTTGTCTTAGATGTGCCTATAAATAAACTTCTAAAATTGTCCCTGGAAGCTTGATCTTGTTCTTGAGAACCTAATCTCATGTGCACATTTCCTATGCCCGAGATGGAAGCATTTCCTTGAAGGTTACTGTCTATGCCCAATTCATTCAAGGAGAAAATAGCCCACTCTGACTTTTCAGCCTATGCCTTTGTCAAGGCTGTTATTGGAGAGAGATGAAATGGCTCAGTATTTATTTCTGTCTTGAGATCAGTAGCTATATCTGACCGTCAGTATTTGTCTGAGAAGAATCAGACATTCTCATCCTTTAGAATCAGACAGGGCACACACAGTTCTGAGTGTGTATGCCTGTAACCCACTACAACCAGCAGTAACTACAGCTCAATTCATACTGTGAATACCCTCAGTGATTCACATTTTCCCTGCGGTCTGGACCGTTTACCTTACACATGTCCTCCTCACCGTGGAACTACCCATTAAAATGATTGAGAAGTAGTCTCACCTGAGTTTGGTGTCAGATTTAGTACCGAGGCTTCTTGCCTTTACACACTGTCACTCCAAAGCAGAAGAATTGCTGAATACCAGGGTTTCTGTATGTTCTGCTAAAACAAATATGGGAAAGAGTCTGTGCAATAAAAAATGTTTTCAGTTCTAATTAGTCACCGTAGATTATAGTAAAAACAATCATACCCAAAAATAAATTGTTCACGTTTAAAAATGTTTTTTCAGTTCCACTTGGTTTGCTGACTTTGAATTTGATAGGTGTTTTATCTAAGTATTCCTCAAAACATATCTCATAAAATTCTCCCTCACATATTTATCTGATAACTAAATGATCTGATAATTAAATGATAAGTTTAGCATCATTTTGTGGTTGAGAATACATTTAATGATGTGCTGAGTAGTTCCGTCTCTGATTCCTGGCTGTCACCTCAAACTTAACCACACAGCCACTAAAGCTACCTCTTCATTTTGGCGTATTATTTTTTACTATAGTATCAGTTTGACTTATTTTTCTCTCCTACTTTATCAGGTTACCAAGTTACCCTGTCATCCTCCAGTATGTTTATTTATTCAGTGAATATTGAATACCTCATTTATATCAGTGTTAAAAGTAGCCACAAAATATATGCCTTACTGAAAGCCTTGTGAATTCTTCATGTTTTTCAAATCTACCTTTAAGAAATTATTTCACATCATAAAAATAATGAGAATTTCCTAAATGGTCATTGTTTTCTACTTTATCTTGCATGTCCACCAAATTAGTCTTCTCCAAATGTTTCTTATAAACCTTCATTATTTTTTATTTTTTTAATAATGCAAATGTGTTACTTTCATATAATATGACCTTCTAAATGCACTTCCATAGGTATCCTCAATTTTCTCAGACCATGATTAAGTAGTAATATTGCCACTTTTTACAGAAGCAGCATGTGAGTAAGAGGACTCAAACTCTAGCCTTCCAAAAGCCTGGAGTTTTCTTAACAGCCAGGAAACCTTCCCAACTCAAGACCCTCTGAAGTCTGGCCTTAGTCATTATTGCAGTATTGATATTTCACTTTTACTATATACACTGTCCTCTGTAAATAAATTTACAGTATTAAGTCTTAATTGTGAGTTTCCCGCTTTGTTGTCTTTTTTTGCATGTATTTAAAATAGCAATATTTTACATTATTTGGCATTCAAAAGTACTTATCACCTCAAAGTCAAGAAGAGTTTGGGTTTTTCTTTTAGTAAAAGTGGTCACACACAAAAAATGAATTGTTCGCATTGGTTTTTAGCTTATTCTTGTATGTTTTTTAGCCAGTTTTTCTTTAGTTAACATATACTTCTAAGTTTTACATCTGCTTTTCTAGCTTACATTTCTTTTTATGTTATTTTCCTCTTAATTTCATGTTCTGCTGCTTCTCCATACCCTGCCCTATCCTTCTCTCCTCTCTTCCTCTCCTTCCTTTTTCTGTTTTCTCCTCTTTTACCCTAACCTCCTATTCCCTCCCCCATTTTATATGTGGAATTTGCATATAATTCTTACTTTTTGTTATTTATGTAGATATTTAGACCCCAAACTAAATCACATGCTTGTAAATGAGTTCTGATTTTTACATTTCAAAAATCAGTATAATTCTATATATAATTTTTTGTTTAATTAGGCATAACTATATAATTATGTAGGATGACAGGATAATTGAAATGGATTCAAAAGGTAAAATATTTCCCCTTTTTTTTCTTTAAGAGTTAAAAATTCTCCACTTAAACAGTCACCAGGTTATCAGACAGAACTAGTTATTCAGTTGGTATGGGTGAGTGGGGAACCACCACAGCAAATAACCAGCCTGGCAATCAATTCATCGTATGGACTGTAAGTATAAGTCATGTTTTCTTCAGTTTCTTTTCTCATAGTATTCCATGTATCATTTTTCTTTTTAAAAATAAAAACTTGCACTTCAAATTCAACATTTGAATCATAATTTTGTTTTGAATAATTTACTCTGGCTATGTGTACTGCTTCCTGATATTAAGTAAATATCTCATAAACCAAGGAATTATTAGAGATAAAGTTTTGAAGTCAGTATATCCTCCCCTATGGATACTCCTAGAAATAATTTTCTTAATTAGTATCATGGAAATCTAGCAACATGAATACAGAAGACATTTATTAATTAATTATGAATACTGAACTGTAACTATGTCATTTTTTTCTATTTCCAAAGTTGTACAACTTAGAAAGACATAGTAATAATGTAATAAAGTATTTGTAATACAGGCATATCTGTTTTATTACCAGTTTTTGACTTGAGATACAGTGTTAAATATACTTTGTATTATAATACAATAGGCATTTGTCTTTTTATTTCAAAACTCAACAATCCAGTGTAAGAAATTAATTACTAATTGGCTTATCATGTGCAAATCACTGCCTTCCTGAGTGATACCCCTAGGGACTCAGTCATCTTTTTTTGTTGCTGGTAGCTATGACTACCTCCTTGCCTCTTTTTCTTTTGTTACTGGGGATCAAACTGGGCCCTTGTGCTTGCAAGGCAGGAGGTGGAAACACTGAAAAAAGCCCCCGACCCCCTCCTTGCCTTTTGAATTGCATATCGAGCTAAGACTGGCAGCAGTCTGAGATAATCTTTTACTTAATGCCTTACAATATAGGAGCACAAGCCTGCTTCTTTTATATATTTGATTGCCTTCAACCATAAAGGAAACAAAAAGGGGATAAGCAAAAAATCCAGTAGGATGTGTCACAGGGAGTTGTACTTCAGTTAATGACAGGCCTCATTGGGCTCATAGCTGTATTTTGTTTGGTGCTTTTTATGTATTTTTAGAAGTTGAATTAATTGCCAAGAATATCTAATTTATAAGTCATACTTTTTTTCTAATTTTGTGAGACAAAATCTTGCTATATCATTGAGGATGGCCTTGAACTCAGTATGTAACCCAGGCTGGCCTCAAACTTGTGTTAATCTCCTGTCTCAGCCTCCTGAGTCCTGGGATTACAGGGATGTGCTACCATGCCCAGCTAAATCCATATTTTAAACTTTGACTGAAAGTCTAGTTGTGGGGTATATGGGTATAGATACTCCTGTGTGGCAATAGACACCTGGATCTGAGTTAAAGTTTTTACTTTTTAGATACACACATATTTTACTTTTTCAATAGTTAGTACTCCTCAAGTCACCACAGTTCTCACCTGACTTCTTTACTTTTTTTTTTTCAGCTTTAATTGAGTTTATTGGTACATTTTAGGGATACAGTACAGTTACATTCATTGTTGGGATCTTGTACCTCCACATGACAATGTAGCTTCTTTGTACATTGTCAACTTTCAACGTTGCTCTTAAGAGACCTTAAAAGAATAATAATCCTTGATTAAGTTATAGCTCCTGACATATAATGAAAAGATATTTTGAACACCCCAGAGTCTTCCAAGACTTTTTGCTTTCTACTTTTATTATTGACTATACAGATTACCAAAACTTTCCCTAATATATCAGCCTGTTTTTCTGTTAGAAGATAATATCTTCTCCTAAAGGGCTCAAAATGCCCTCAAGGAAGAAAAATTGATGTTACATTCCATAGTATGGGGGATATATATTTCTGATCCAGTTCTAATTCCTGTGTGGAATATTTTTTATATCAGTAATGAAGTTTCATGAGAAGGTAGATATAACCTGTTTTTCCATGTCCATGGTTGTCAAAGGAGAATTTTTTGAAAGACCAATTGTGCATCCTCCTTCAACCTTATAGACTATGATTTTGTTTTGTTTTTTGTTTTTTTTTGATACACGGGAGGCCACCGAACCGCTGAGCTAAATCCCCGGCCCAATTATATTTTCTTATAATTGATTGTTTTCACTAGAATGTTTTTTCTCTTCCAGGGTGGTTTTTGGCAATTGTAATGGCATTGCTATGGTTGACTACCTCCAGAAATCAGTGCTGCTCAACTTGGGCACCATTGAATTATATGGCTCTAATGACCCTTATCGGAGAGAACCCCGATCTCCTCGTAAATCTCGACAACCTTCTGGAGGTAAAAAGAAAAAAAAAAACACTACTGAGTTTTAAAATTTCTTTGAATGCTGACTTATTTCTTTTGCTCAGTAGATAGTTTGTCTAATGTAGATGGTGTATGTCACAGTCAAAAACAAGCAAAAGCATTAGTCTTAACTTTGTATTGTTACTGAGTTTTGATTTTAATATATTGTTTTACGAAAGTTGAGAAAGAGCCACAGTGTCAAACTTCAGCTAAGTTTCTGTGGGTCTGTTTAGCACTTACCAGAAGTTCTTGAGCTCTTTTTGTTGTCACTGTTCCTACTATGTAAAATGTTATATTCTAGATGTTAAAGAAACAGCAGTGAACTCAGCCATAAAGAATGAGAAATTAGACTCATTCATAGGAAAATGGATGAATATTGAGGATATACTCTAAAGTGAAATAAATAAGTCACACATGTGTAAATACCAAATAGTTTCTCTGGTGTGAAAAACTATAATTGTACATAAGTTCTCAATGGTATAATTGACAACTTGAAATAGGAAGAAAAGGGCTAAAGGTGTAGGGGAAGTGGAAAGAGTAGGGGAAAGGAAATAAGGGAAAAGAAAAAAAATATGAGAAAATGAAAAAATGGAAATAAAGTGTTTGTAAATAGGTAATGGCGGCGGGGAAGGGAGGGCAGAGGTAAGGGGAAAAAATGAGAACCAAGATCTGTCATGTAAAGGTACAAGATGCCAATGATGAATGTAACTGTACTGTATACTTAAAAAGTACCAATAAACTCAATGAGAAAAAAAAATGTGGTTTGAAGCAACATCTTAAGAGTATATATGTTCCTGGGCTGGGGATTTAGCTCAGTGGTTTCACCACCTGCCTCAGAAGCACATCGACCAGAGTTTGATCCCCAGTACCCCCCCAAAAAAAGTATATGTTCCTCTAATTTCAGATGATAAACATTTTTCAAATACAATTAACTGGAGAATATGTACTATGATTGTTTGCGTTGATATAAAAATTATACTCTTGCTAAAGTATATTTTTAAACTTTTCTTGAGGCATAGCCCAATTGTCATCAAATTATTCTTCAGTCATTTTTAAATGGGTCAGTTTGAAGGAAGGACCTTTTTTGCTAATAGATGCTAATGTATTTTCATCCACAATCTAGTGTCACTCCTGAATTTATAAAACATCACTGCTGAAGTTTGACTGTGTTACAGATGTATTACAATACAGTTGAAGTATTGACTAACATATAGAATGTGTTTCATGGGCTGGGGATTTAGCTCAGTGGCACCATGCCTGCTTTGTAAATGCAAGGCCCTGAGTTCGATCTCCAGTTCACCCCAACCAAAAAAAAAAAACTGTAAGTGTGTCACAGGGACAGAGTGCAGTGAAGTGTTTCAACTTCATATGTATTTTTGCTATAATTCTGACTGCTGAAGGTGAAACGTGGGATCATTTATGTTTTGTTTCACTGGTCACTTGATCATTCAGATAGTGAAGGATAGAAGAAGGGAAATCTGTTCTGAATATAATTCTAAAGGCCATATAAAATCTGTTTAGGAGGTGGAAGTAATAGACATATGGAGAAAAGTACCTGCTTACTCTTGGGAGTCGATAATGTAAGAAGGAAATTAGAGGCAAAAATGTACCTAGACTTTAGGAGAATTTTTTTTTTTAACCTCTGGATATGAAGCTCTAAAAATGAAGTGTTTTGGTTTTGGTTTTTACAACAGTTACAATTATTTTGAAGTCTGAAATAAGACAGAAAAGGAGAAATAGCTATGGAGTTCAGTAGTACCGGTTGAAAATTTCTGTGTGTGTGTGCGTGTGTGTGTCTGTGTGTGTTATAAAATAAGAAATGCTACCATAGTCACCCTTATCTGCATTTTAAGATACATTTTAAGGAGATACATTTTAAGACCACCAGTGGATATCTATATATGTATTAATGTTTTTTCCTACATATGTACACCTGTAATAAAGTTTAATGTACAAACATGGCACAGTAAAAGATTATCAACAACAACAATAAAAATGAACAATTATAACAGTGTATTCTATAGTAATAGCTAAGTATAGTGGTCTTTCAAAATATTTTATCATTCTGTCAGTGTCCTTTTATGACAAGAGGAGATAAAACTTAAAGGCATTTTGTTGGCTTCTCTTTAGCAAATTTGAGTTACCAACACCTCTACTCTTGTGAGTTACTTGATTACAAGCACTGAGTTGGCATTGTGGAACTAGGACAATAGAACTAATACAACAAACAGCTAAGTAAGTAAAGGATAGGTAGCCTATACAACATGCCAGCATAATGACTCACTTCTGTGCAGAACTGTGCAAAGTTTCATCATGCTACTCAGAATGGGACCTAATTAAAATTTATAAATTGTTTCTGAACTATTCCATATAGTATTTTATATGTATCTGTGAAATAAAGGATGCAATAAGAATGTACAAAATATTACATCAGTCAAAAACTGCTGTGTCAAATTATAAGGCTGGTTTCAAAAATAATGGGATATAAAGCAATGAATGCTTGGTTGTCAGGAAAATATGATACAGGGAGCATTAGAACCCAATTTTAAATAATAATTGAAAAACTGAAGATACAACTTTTTCAGCTTTCTTTGTAAAGAATGCTATTTCTCACTAGAAAGTATGAAAACTAATTTAAGATAAATTAAAACCCAAGTAACTTTGTGTAAACAAAGCAGACGAAACATAGTAAGTGGTTACCAAGGAAATTAAATTTAAATTGAATTTAAAAAGTATCCCAATTTGAAGGTCAATTATATTAAAAGTCAGTTCATTGAAAATATAGTTTAGTCACAATTCTAGAATGAATGGCATTCCTGATTCCTTGTGTACATATAAAAGTGGAGATAATAGGTTAGCAAAAGTTTACTAAAATTGCTACAAAATAATTTTACTTTTTTAATCTGGTAATGTATTACTGGTTTATGGCCAGTTGACATATTTTCTGAAGTTAATAAGGTATTTGATAAAGAATTCCATGATAATTTTTGAACCACACCCGTAGAAGTGACCTACATACCTAGTTCAATTAAACAGTTTCAAGATTGATTAAACCATGACTTAGCAAGATACTCTCTGCTGGCTGAATCTGGCCCACAACCTAAGTTTGTAAACACACTTTTATTGGAGCTGATTTGCTTATGTGTTGTTTTTGGCTGTGCTTGTGCTGCAACATTAAAGCTGAGTAGTTGCAACACAGATTTTTAGATTGAATAAATTATTTCCTGTTTGAATTAGTTTAAGACTAAATGCCTGCTGGACCCTGAGTATCTAGAAACCATGGTATATATTGGGAAAGCAGAAGTAGAGAAGGAAAAAAAATAAAATTAGAGGTCAGAAGATACATACCATGGGGTTATTCATATGAACTTACCATGTAGGGTTGGACTTTGACCCTTACCTTAAATGAAATGAGACAGAAGATATTAAAGGGGTTTTAGCTCATTTAATAGTTATTGTAATATATTTAATATTTAAATCAAATCATCTCAATCCACATTCTCTAATTCAGCTTCCCAAATGTAGGCTAATAATAATTAAGAATAGTAATCATGTAATTAATTATACCATACATTTTTGTTTTATAGTATATAGTATTTATTGTACATTTAGTATATTGGTGACAAAAATTCCCATGTTAAAATTTCAATATCTGTTGGTTTTTAATATTCAGTACTTGGAACATTGTAGCACTAGAATATATTTTCACTGCTCATTAGAAATCTTTAACCTTAGTGTTCTATCAGGAAAAAGTTCATTTATGTAAACATATTTTGTCAGATTAAACCAATCATCTTAGAGCTATAGAAACTGGGTTTTTTAAAACTTTTATCAGTACATGTTTTCAGTACATAATGAGTACATTTATAGTAGGGAATTGTTACACGTATATAACACATTTCAGTTTTTTATTCAGAAACAATTTGGTGAAATTTAAAACATTACTGCGTCTCATTCAAGAACTTTCTAGAGATGAAAACAAATAATATATAATTCAAACTAGAAAGTAACACTTCTTATAAATCTAGAGTATTCTCTAAAAATATTGGTATAAAAGCTTTCAGAGTGACATTAGAGATTGGGGCATTATGTCTAAAGTACTGGGAGAGCAAGTACTGGCCATGCACATAAGCGCATCAGCATGACACATGACTTCTCCTGAGGCTTAGACATGCAACTCCTTGTCTGTTGACCAGCTAGTCCAAACTCCTGATGTTTTTATTAGTAATCATTAAACAATTCACAAGGAATTTGTTCATGTCAGTATCTAGACAAATGATTATTTATATATATTTTTTTAACCATAGATTTTAGTTCTTGTCCATGGAATAAAATATCTTCCTATAATTTTGCTAAGAATTTAGACCATGTTATAAAATAGATCAGTTTTATATATGTAATTCATGTTTATTTGAAAAGAAAATATTTTGTTAGAGATCTTTTTAAACTATGGTGCTACAGTTTTGTTTTCCCTCATTGAATTTATTGGTACATTTTAGGTATACAGTACAGTTACATTCATCATTGGGATCTTGTACCTTTACATGACAGGTCTTGGTGTTCATTTTTCCCCCTTTTCCCTGCTTTTCCTTCACCCCCTCTTCCCTTCCCTATTTACAAATACTTTATTTCCATTTTTTCATTATTTTTTTCTTTTCCCTTATTTCATTTCCCCTACCCCTCTCACTTTCCATACACCTTTAGCCCTTTTCTTCCTATTTCATACTGTCAGTTATACCATTAAAATCTTATATACAATTATAGTTTTTCACACCAGAGAAACTATTTGGTGTTTGCACGTGCGACTTATTTATTTCACTTCAGAGTATAACCTCAATATGCATCCATTTTCCTATGAATAACTCTAACTTCTCATTCTTTATGAAGCAATTCTATAAAGATGAGTAATGTGGAGTATTTTAAATATTGCAAAATTGAGGATGCAAAATGTTTTCTTAATTATCATTCAGAAATACTTAAGGAAAATGTTTGAAGTTTGAATCGAAGGTCCTTATGATACAAAAATTACCAAACCTATTCTTCCTTTAAAATTTGAAAAATGTCATATACCTCACATTTCTGACTTCCAAAAAAGTTCTGCATTATCCCTGATGTTTTTTAAGAACAAATTATCTTATTTGGAAATTCTGTTTCTAACCTGTGTTCTTATTTGTTTAACTGATAACTGCCGCATTAGTATGAGGTATTTTAATACTAAAATGTTCCTACTTCATAGCTAATGAGCACAGTACAATTTCAGTAGTTTATTAATCTGCTGGCTTCTTTTAAATAGACAGTAGTGAAATATAAATAGTAGGTAGAAAGCAATCTGCACTTCTGTATATTTGTGGTGTGACTTGTTTATTGTTTTTGGTTTTTAGCAGGTCTATGTGATATTAGTGAAGGGAGTATAGTTCCAGAGGATCGCTGCAAATCTCCAACTTCTGGTAATTGTTTTTTATTTAATTACTACTTATGAGCATATATGAACCACAATGGCATATCAGTTCTTTTTACAGATGAACAATTGAAATATGTCAACAAAAAGGTGTTGTTATGTATTTATTATTAAAATCAGAACTGTATTCTTTACATTCTGATTAAGTGAAAAGAAATTCAGCTTGTGCCAGATAAAAGTGAATAGCTTTTACCTGATCAAAGTCATATAATTGTTTACTTTGTAATATTTACACTTTTACTTATTACCTAACTAGATCAAATGTTTTAGTTGCATGCATGTAGTCTTTTCTTTCCTTCAGGCACTCCTGGCACTGTCTAGTGGAATCAAAGAAAAGTTGATGTTGCAATCTGGTTTCCTGTAGCCACTATTTATCTTTTTAAATGTTAAGAGAGATTTTTTTCCCTCTTCTGTCGCTAGATAGAATTCAGAGCCTCTGGCATGCAGTGCAGGTTTTCTACCACTGAGTTATATTCCCAACACTACTGCTCATTAAAGTCATAAAAGATTTTTTGTACTATACTCTAGGGATGTCTGAGAATATTGAAATAAATGTAGACTAGAGTTTGGCTTTTGATCTTTTGTTGATATCTTTGTAGCTCTATTAAGCAGTTCTTTCTTATCTATAAAATGAGTCTGTATGTGACCTATGTGTATATTGCAGAGGAACATACTTTGATTTTGAGACCCTTAAGGTTAAAAAGATTTTGAATTAATTTTATTTTAGTGGATTGAAACTTTGCTAATATTTAATAAAGTTGACTTTATAGTCTTAATTACTGTATTTCTAAAATTGTCCTGGCTAAGACTTTTCATCAGTTTTCTAGTTGAAAGATTATTCTTAACCTAAGTAGAAGTTTTTAGATAGGTTTTATGCTTCCATAGCTAGTTTTTCTATACCAGAAATAATCATAGAAGTGGAAAATACTCAGAAGGGTATTTTGCTTTATACCCTCAGGTTTCAATTTAGCATTTTATTAGATCTCAGACTATAAAAGTTTTTGTGGTATTTTCTTTTTACAGTTACATTTTCCTAGTATTGCACAAGCTAATCATTTTTTTAAAATTACAATTATCCACGCATTTTCTTACTCTTCAAACTTCACATATTCATTAATTTATTAAATGAATAAAGCATATAAAGACATAGGAATCACATCAGATCTCTAGTATTAAGTCTTAATCTTGGTAGAATAAGTTTGAATAAAAGATATGAAATGAATAATTGTTTTCTACCTCATAGGAATAGAGTTGTTTCTAAATTTGGAAATAATATTTTTTCATTGTTAATGATCTTCCTCCAACTACATGCAGTACAGTTCTGATTTCCTCACCTTTACAGAGTCAGTATGTTAAGGATATAAGTCCAACTGGATAATTTGGACATGAAATATTAAATAACCATCAAAATTATTTTAGTAAGATTCAGCCCAAATAAATACTCATTTTTATTCCACACCAGACTCACTATAACTAAAGAAGAGATAATTAGAATTACAGACTTCCAAAAGGTGGGTACATTAGCAATTTATATTAACAAAAGAAGGGGAAACTATAGACAAATATACGTGTATATTTAAATACAGGCATGTAAAATTCCAAAAGTACATACATGTAAAAAGTTCTGCGAGTTCATTCCTCCTCAAATCAGAGGAATTCAAACATTGGTTCAACATTTTGACGTATATTTTGCTTTTGGTCATGTGAAAAGATGTATGATTTTAATGTCTTGGAAATTCATATGACACTATTTTATTGTTTCTATCTCAGTGAGTTTGACATACAGTAAAAATGGTGTCCTCAAAAAATCATTGGTAAATTATTACTTCTTATTCTCACATATAGGACCCTTATTCAGTCTTTAGTTATGACCTAAAAGATTTAAAAGTTCTCTTAGTTATGTCCATTTCCACATATCAAGGACTACTTTTTTTCTTGAAGTCAAATTTTATAGGTAGTAATCATATCCAAAAGATATTTCATATATCAGTCATGCATTAATACAAAAAGCATTATAGTAGAAAGTAGAATGAGATTCTAGAAAACCTTTTTAATACTATTCTCTTACAACTTATGTTTGTTTTTCTCTATTTGCTTGTTTAAAAATAGTTAATAGTAATTTTTGCTATCGTGGGCTACTTAGCTCACTTTATTAGGCACATATTTGACTTTTTTATTCGCCTTCATCCTATTAGCATCCTAATTATGAAATAAAATAATAATTTATGTTAACTTGTTTTTACCAACCCATTCAAATTCTTCTAATTTGAGCCAGGGATTTAGCTCAGTGTGCTGCCGCCTGCCTGGCAAGTGCAAGGTTCCGAGTTTGATGCCTGGTACCAAGAAAAAAAGAAAAAAAAAAAATACTACTAATTCTTCTAATTTGAGATGGTTAGAAACAAATAGATGGAATGAATTTAAGATTAATTAAAAGTTTAAGCAAAATAAAGAGATCATGTTACTAAAAATTTAAAAATTGGTAATTAAGTTGCTAGCTTCAAATATTTTCCAGAAATGAAGACAATAGCTAAGGGATATGTTATAAATTATTAAAACTAATATAGTCAGTTTTATGGGAAAAGAAGAACTGTACAAAAGTGGGTTAAAAGTAAAAATTGATTCTTCATAAATACTAAGATGTGGACCAGTATTAGATACACTTACAACATAATCATAAGCCTTTTTGTTAAAATCATTGTGCTTACTGAAAATTAATTCATAAATGGATAAACTTTTTTGAAATCCCATAATCAATATTTGTGATTTCACATGTTTAATCAATATCAAAGAAGTCTTCAGAAAACATCATGAGAAAATATGAATAATAAATACAGTTGTTGTTTTCCATTTAGTTTTGAATAATCAGTGATCTCTCTGAAAAAGAAATTAATTTTACCCACCAAACTGGTCTCTGTTTGGTCTTTATTTCAGAGAATGAAGATTGTTTCAGATGTTTCACTGAGTACATTAATGATAATGGAAAAAAATATATATATATGTTAGAATGATTAAAAAATCTGTTATTTTCAGTGATAAGGCTACATGTACCATGATGTAAATGGTGCCTTGACAATTTGTTGTGTGTCCTAGGAAAAGTAGTAAGCATAGATATCACTTGTGTTTATTTAATTATGATGATTTATTAAATTTATTCAACTAAAATACTAAAAACCACTCTGGAACCTTTTCATGAGCTATTGTTAAGAAGTTAGGACAACCAGAATTTTCAGTTAACAGGAAAGTAAATGTACTTGTTTTATTTATAGCCTGTATTATCTGTGCTTATTTTAAAAACATCATTTTTGTAATTTTATTATCATAGCTATTATCCTGCTAATACTGATGAGATATATCCAAACTAGTATTAATAATACTTTTTTATACATTTCTGTGTCTGTCTGGTATCAGGTGACAGTAATATCTTAAAATACTTGAAGCATACCATAATAATTATATTCTTTAAATCTGAATTATATGTAAATGTTAAACAGCTGTATATATTTCTGTTTCTGAAGATGTTATTGAGCTTATTGTTACTGATTTGATTATTTGGCGGGAGTACTGTATCACTGAGCTATGGCCCCAACCCTTTTTATTTTTGAGACAAGAGCTCACCAAGTTGCCCAGCCTAGGCTTGAATTTGTAATCCTCCTCCTTTAGCTCTGGATCCTGCCCCCAGTAGCTATGATTATAGGTTTGCAAGACTCTTTAATAAGGGTTATATGGAGATCTGATTTTACTAATTAGCAAAATTAACATAGATTTTTTAGAGTAATCTTTTAAAACCATTATAAAAATAATTAGATTTTGCCAGTTTGGGCAGATTTTATTTGGTCAGCAAACATCAAGAATATTTGCCACTTGGCGAAAGGAGAAAAGTGAGGTATTTGGGTGGAGGAATGTATGGGGTGTCAAGTTTTGATTTTTAACTCATTAAGATTCAGAATTTTCCTAGGATTGTTTTTAAGTACATAAAGGAGAATTTTTGGTTTACTTTAGATCATATTACATTATTCAATCAATATTTACTACAGACACCTACATAAAAATCACTCTTGATAATAAGACACAAAAATTAATCAGATGTGAGCTTTGCTTTGCAGATGTTCATTTCCATGAAAGTAATATGTGTATCATTTTTTAATTGAGTTTATTGGTACATTTTAGGTATACAGTACAATACAGTTACATTCATTACTGGGATCTTTTACCTTTACATGACAGGTCTTGGTTCTCATTTTTTCCCCTTGTCCCTGCCCTCCCTTCACCCCCTCCTCCCCTCCCTATTTACAAACACTTTATTTCCATTTTTTCATTTTCTCATATATTTTTCTTTTCTCTTATTACCTTTCCCCTACCCTTCCCACCTTTAGCCCCTTTCTTCCTATTTCACATTGTCAGTTATCTCATTAGGATCTCACATACTATTATAGTTTTTCACACCAGAGAAACTATTTGGTATTTAATTATGTATATAAATTTAAAATACAAGATAACAAACAATTAACATGAGAAGTACATAGATATAATATTACAGGAATTCACAGGAGGGCAAGTGATTTGAAGCTGGGGAGAGTGTAAAAATTTTAATGAATGAGATATGCCTTTAAAAAATATGCCTTATTTTTTATATATTTTGTAGCTTTCACATGAAGGTTTTTGCCAAACTGTTAAGAAAAAATTAGAATTAATATTTATGTGTACCAGAGTCTATCATGAAAGATACTACACTGCCAATTGCTGTGCTGTAATGTTATCAGAATTGCTATTAACTGTATTAGTTTCCTCTCTGTGTGGTCAGCAACATAGGAACTTGGCTTAGAGGTTACCAGAGTTTTCACTTGTACTTTGTATGTGACAGTTCCATGTTTGTGACTGATTGTGTCTGTTCCTTTCGTTGTCTTCATTGTGTAGGTTCTTCATCTCCACACAATTCAGATGATGAACAAAAAATGAATAATTTTATAGAAAAGGGTATAGTATCTTAATTTTAAAGTATTTTTATTTATGTTTAATTTGTTCACTTTACTTTGAATAGATTTTGACATTTTATATCAAAATATTATTTTCAGTGAAGACCAAAAGCAGAAAGTTTTCCAAGATGGTAGCCAGTGATATAGGTAGGAAATAGAAATTTCTATTTTGTTTCTAATCCTCGCTGTATGCAATGCTAACCCTATACCAGAAAATGATCCAATGCATTGCATTTTGTATATATTAATTTTTATTTCTTTGCTAAACAATAATCTCTTGGGCTGTGTCTCTTTTAAACTTACTGGGGCAACAATTACTTAAAATCAGTTAAATTGGGTTTAAAGTTCTTTCTCTGACTTGCAGTGTGAATTCTGTTAATTTTTATTTTTGCTTTATTTTAAAATAAAGCAGGGTTCAATTTATGCTACACATAGCTGAATTTTATACTCATCAAGCTTTGAAATAATTATTTTCTTTGTAGTTTAATTTATATATTTTTATCTTCACTCAACTTCTCATATTTTTAAAACTCCAAATTTCAGAGAAATGGTTTTTTAAAAATTGACTTTTAATCTGTAATCTCTACTACTTTTGGGCTAAGTGAGAATTTTCTAGTGTCCCCCCACACCACAGATAAAAATATATTACTCCTGCTTGTTCTTGTGGTTGTGGATATTCCTTGAAATAGATTACTTAGTCCAAGGTTCTCAGAGTTTAAACCTGAAAGAAAAAATGTGCAATCAAACTTCAGGGACATAAATTAGATTTTCTTTTTTTTTAGTTACAAAAATTTAATTTTCTCCAAAGGATTTTTTAAAAGCTTGAAAAATACTATTATTGAAAAAGCATAAATTTGAATTTTTATTTAAGTCAAGTTTTAAACAGTTATTACATCTATATACCCTCAAGACTTCCATTACATAGTCCCTAACTTTAATTAAATTAAAGGAACTTGTTGGGCAGCTGGAATAACTTGACTTTTTCTCAATTCATAAAGTTCAATATATGGTTACATTTTCAAAAATTCTTAGAAGTAACATCCATGTTGTCTGCATGTTATAAATTGAGCCCTGTTTAGTCATATTAATAATGGTGGCTCTTAGCCCCTCTGGGTATTTTTTAAATAAGGTGGTTTATTCTTGGGCAAAAAGCTTTTTATTTAAAGAGAATCAATTATTTACCTCTTTGGATTTATGGTTTTCTTTTTTTAGTGAATCTGTTGGTAATAGGTAAATCATTTTATGTGCTAGCACATACTTTTAAACCTTTTTCCTTTATAGTATATTCTATTTTAAGAATATATTAGAAGGCCAGGGATTTAGCTTAGTTGTTCCACTGCCTACCTCACAAGCACAAGGACTGGAGTTCGATCCCTGATAGCCCCCACAAAAAAGGAAAACTTTAGAGGTGGGCCAAGATGTAGCTCAGTGGTGCAGCTTCCTGCCTCATAAGTGCAAGTTTCCAAGTTCAATCCCTGTTACCCTGCCCCTCCCAAAAAAATACATTAGAAGATCTTTTATTGTCACATAATGTAAAAAGTTAGAAAGGACTTTCCTACGTACATTTCACTAAATAACTTTTAGAATTCAATTATCTAGAAATTTTATTTTATTTAAAGGGACTTTGGTACATAATGAAATTGCTAAATTTCTCTGATTTTTTTTTAATTCTGAGATCTGTTTGCTATTTTAAATAAAGTGTGTTAAACAGATTCCTATTTTGTGTGTGTGTGTGTGTGTGTGTGTGTGTTTGTGTGTGTTTTAAATAGTATATGTAACTTGAAATACTGGAGCTTGACTTTTTGAAAGACTTCACTAACAAATTTGTCAGGGCTGAGCACATTGGAAGGATAGTTCACTGATAGCCTTCTTGATTTCTTTTTATGTTATTGGTGAGTTTTTATTTTTGTCATGCCAATTCTGTAGTTATTTTTTGGGAAACACGTTAACCTTACTTTTCAAAAGTATATTATTCCACAGTTATGCATTTTTATTTTTAACCTTCCAGAACATTAGTATATCCCCAGTTTTACATGTACTTTTTCTTTAGTTGGAAATCTTTAGTGTTTTTTTAATCTAAAGATTGCTTATTTTAAATATAGAAAAGCTAATGTCTCAAATCTTTCTTTATACAAGTGGAGACTGCCCATTTTTAGAGTGTCAAATTTTCATAATTGAAAATATGACATATCTCTCTACAGTAGTGAGGATCTTGTAATAAAAATTAGCATAAAATACGCTATTAAAAACATAAAATATCAATAAAACATTATAAGAAAATTTGTAGATCTTCTGAGGATCTCTGTCAAAGATTGGTGTTTTCTGTATAATGTTGAGTTGGCAAAAGTTCTACCATTAAGAACCCTTGAGTGGGCTGGGATGTAGCTCAGTGGTTCTGCCACCTGCCTCGCAAGCACAAGGTCTTGAGTTCAATGCCTGGTACCAAAAAATAAAAAGAAAAAGAACCCTTGAGCATGCTGAACACACTCTGTTTCCTGTTATCCAGTCTCATTTGCTGAGTCATGTCCCGAATTCTGAAATTATTACTTCTCTCTATCTCGATCTACTAACACTCAGCTTTTTCATACATAGTTAGGCAATGGCCTCATAAAAGAAGGCATGAGATTACACATTGGAGTGTGCCACAGTTGGAAATGGTGAAAGAGCCACATTGTATGGATGGCTGATTGATTGCCTGTATCCCTACATTTCACTTGTTCTTTGTGAGTGTTGTTGCTGGTGGTGCAGAATGCCATTCCTACTTGAAAATGTTTAACCCAAACATAATTCTGCTTGACAGTACAACTGGGATGGCTAAGATAACACCAATAACTTTTTAAAATGTAGATATTGAAGATATACTCCTAAGTGAAATAAATAAGTCACACATGTGTAAATGCCGAATAGTTTCCCTGGTGTGAATAATCTGCAACAATGCATAAGATTCTAATAAGATTACTGACATTTAGAAATGGGAAGAAAGGAGCTAAAGGTGTAGGGAAGGTGGGATGGGTAGGGGAAGAGTAAAAAGGGAAAAGAAAAAATGTGAGAGAATGAAAAGATGAAAATAAAGTGTTTGTAGATGGGGAGGGGAGGAGGGGGTGAAGGGAGGGCAGAGGTAAGGGGAAAAAATGAGAATCAAGACTTGTAGAGGTACAAGATCCCAACAATAAATAGGGGAGGAGGGTGAAGGGAGGGCAGAGGTAAGGGGAAAAAATGAGAATCAAGACTTGTAGAGGTACAAGATCCCAACAATAAATGTAACTGTATTGTATCCCTAAAATGAACCAATAAACTCAATTAAAGCTAAAAAAATAAAAAATAAAATAAAATGTAGATGTGGTTATAGTCCTCCCTGTGTACCTGGTAATCTGGAAAAAAGATGACTCATACTAAATTCGGTCCTAGCACTATATCCAAGATGTTATATTGGTACCCATCATCCAGGTATACAGTGCCTGAAAATCTACCATCCTCAAAGACACACTTGAAAATGATAAATAGAATGAACTGTGGAGTGCCCTAACTCATCCACCCAAATCTTGGCTTCCAAGATTGCTTCCTGATTGACAGCTAAAGCAGGTGAATGATTTTGATAATGCTTCCTTTCTCATATATGAGAGTAGCCTATATAGAAATGACCTTAGTATTCTTAGTTTCGCAGCAAAAATACCATGTAATACAGTTTACAGCATCTACAAAGAAAGTTACATAAGTGTAATATAAATATAGAACTATAATTTGTTTTGCCTACTTTTATCTTACAAGTTTTTGTTAGTAAAATCTTAATGACCAACATTTTCAAAATCAGTAACTTTTCCTGCACTATCCGCAATTTCTGTAAATCACTTAGAGAAAGTAAGATTGTTATCAATTTTTATTTGCCCCTTTGAAAATTTGAAAGTAAAATTCTAAAACGCTTTTAGTTATCTTAAAGTTATAAAAATAGTTCTTAAATATATTTTTGTTACAAGGTATTAAGCAAATTGAATAAAATGTGTCTAGATGTAAGCATTATCTAGTAAATTTGTAAGTACATGATTCACTTCTTCTAAAGACTACTATTTCATTATGATTTTATTTCATGTTGACAATAGATTTTTCATTAGATTTCATACTCTGACACAACCTTGTTGCATTTTGTTGCAAATTTCCATATAGAAGCCTGATTATGAAATTACCTTATTACATGAAGCTAATGATATGAAAATAATACTAGAAAGTAAAATATAGAGTTAAAATTATAGTGACTTAAAAGTGTGCTATGCCTGAACAAATAGAAATAATAGCTCCATTTAGTGGATACCTCCTAAATTGTAACCACTACACTAGATAATTTTTCATATGTCATGTATTGTTAATATAGGAAAGATCATACCACTAAGGCCCTTCACAGTTTTCCAGTTCTGAGAACATAGGTATTTAGGTTGTGATAAATTCTTAGCAAATACTAAAGTTATTTTTGAAGTCGGTTTAAATGAAGATAATGTTGTTCACTAATCCAAGTGTTATTTTCATTAGTTCTGTTTGCATGAGTTCTAATGATTACTTTTTAAAATCAGTGTTCTAAAACAGCAAAAATCCATTGTCATTTTATTCTAAATCACTAACTCATTAAATCGCTTTATTTTAAAGTAATATTAATCCTTTATTTTTCAAGAAAAGAAATTGAGTCTTAGAGAAGTTAAATGGTATATCCAAAGTAATACCCTCTGATAATGACCTAGTCAGAGCTGGAGTCTTACCTCTTATTTTACATGTGTCCTCACTGTCATGTTTCATACTTTATACTTCATATGCAAGCATTCACTTTTTCTTCCTTTTGTGGTCACTTTCTCTGATACTGTCTTCCCAGTTCTTTTATATTTATGAGTTGAAAAATAAATTCATAGAAGTCTATTTAGAAATTGTTGCCATGCAGATGTGAAGGTATGTATCAAGTAGTATTTTAAGTTATGACATAATTCATTATAAAACAAAATAGCACTGATAATTCTACAAGATATTCCCCAATATAATGTGATTGCTGAATCTGTAGAAGCTCATCATTATATTCAACCTACAAAATAGCTGTTCAAAGAATAGAAGCTTATCTTGAAAGAGAAGCTGAATAAGTGTGCAGCAATATCATTTTTACTGGTAATGTT